TTCACATGTGCGATTTACTTCCATTTTATTTGTTTGTTTATAGGTAACTTTTGTTTTTTGGTATAATATATGAACATGACCTTTAACTTGGCCTCAGTTTGCATTATGAGCCTTGACTTTAGATGTGCACAAGTAGACACTTAAATTTGTATAAAATTGAATAGACACACCTGTCTTGCATGACACCCTACATGAGAATTTTGTGTCCTACGTGTATCATGTCACGTAGGACATATGTTTTTACTTGTTCAATTTCATACAAGTTTAAATGTCTACTTGTGTGTATTCAAAGTCAAGGGTCATAATTATCAACTAATGTCAAGCTATAGGTCATATTTATGTATTATATCTCTATTTTTCAACTTTTCAGTTATTAACCAATTAGATGTCTAAACAATTCTTGGATTTTGATCGGCTTTTTTACTGTAAATGTCTTCAATTATGTTCGCATTGTAATGATCTTGATTTAAGGGATGAAGACAAACTGTGTGTTAGTCTGTCAGACGCTAGAATTGCTGATTATTTTGAAGATTGACAAAGTACGTAGAATAGGTTGTGCTGCTAACGTGATAGGTTGTGCTAACCAAGTCGACGACGGAATAAGTTTCAATAGAGTTTTCTTATTTAAGGAAAATAGTTTCTATAGTTAATTGTGAAAAGAAGTTCTTATGAACTATGACAAAGTTGTATATACACAGGTAGTAACATGTTGTAGTTGCGAAGATAAGTTGTATAGCGGCAAAGACACATGCAGTAACATAGGAAGACAAGTTGTATAGCGGCGAAGACACAGGCAGTAACATGTCGCAGGCAGTAACACGTCTTTGATGAATCCAAGTTAAATCAGAAAGCGTGTTTGTACAAGTTATTACTTAATCCAAGTTGGGTTCGACTAGGTTTAAGTAAAGAAGGAAAAACTATTTCTTACTTGGTCAAGGAAATAGTTTGAGGCGGTCCAGACAAAGAAGGAAAATTGTTTCCTACTTGTTTAAGGAAATAGTTTGAGGCGGCATCGTTTAAAAGGAAAGAAGCATAAGTTTTTGTTGCGGAAAAGACAAAAGGAAGTCCAAGTTGAGTTCAACAAGGTTTTGTAGAGGCAAAGAAGAAGTTGAATCAAACAAGGAGTTGTTGAAATTCCGATCTATAAATAGGGAGCTATTTTATAAGAAAAATTTGCGTACTTACATAGAGAGCAGATCAAAACACTATCAAGAGGTTTGAGAGAGTTTTGAGAGTTACTTGGGAGTGTTGCCAATTTGTAAGGAAAAGTTGTAAGATTGTAATTAAGAGTTTTGATTACAGTTAAGTGCGTGTGTAGGATTCGTCTAACAAGTTTGAGAAACTTGACGGACGGTAGAAGACTTAACTTGGGGGGTTTTGTCTTGGTTAGCTAGGAATTAGAGTTATAATTTCTTAGCTTGGAATTAGAGTTTATAATTCCTTAGGTTAAATAGGCTTGTAATCTTTTGTTGAGGTTCGGAGTTTAATAAAGTGGAGTTAAATCCTACAGAGTCGTAAGTTGTAATTTTTACCCCTTATGAGTTGAGATTTTTAACAATAAAATATTGTGTCATTATTTTATTTGCTTCGCAAAACGTAACTGTTATAATCTGCAAAGAAACATATAGAATATACTTGTTCCTTAGGCAAATTTGGGGGTCAAAATTCCAACAAAGTCTCATTTGTTTTCTAATGTGTTCAAATGATTTGAAGTAAAACACAATTATTCTCGAACGTTTTCACTATCAATTGAACTAATGAGTTTTGGAACAACATATGTATCCTCTGTCAATATCCCTCGCAAAACCTGATTTCACATCAGCCAACGGTGTTTAAAAGAAATATATTATAGGTGATTCAATGATTCAATAGAAAAATAACATTGAGGTACATCGGAGAAAAAAATTATATATGTAGCCTTGCTACAACACTTCCTTTTATGTTCTTTTCATAAGATTAGATTACTGTCCCAAGAAAACTTATATCAACACGATAGCCATACGCTCCATGCTAGCTTATTCTGTTACGTATATGACTTGTCTCTTTCATTTCTAGTGAAATCATTTTTATAATATTATATGTTGGGCTTTGTTAATTTCAAGTTAAAAAGAAGTTGTCCATCAAAGCTTAACTTAATAAAATAAAAAATACTTAAAAAAGTGTCATTTCTTCGAGTAAAGGTTCAAAATAGTCCCTCAACTTTGGATTAAGATTCAAAATGATCTTTGAGTTTTCACATGGCCTACTAATAGTCCCGCATGTTTGTAATATTGGTGCACTTTGATTCCTCTTGTAAAATTTTGCCTATTTTTTAGCATTAATTTTGTACAAAACTTTATATAAGGAATGTCCAATTGTCTTTTTATATATATAATAGAAATAATAATTCTACTTGAGAAAAGGTGATAAGAAAAACAACTTGTTTTGTTCATTAGAAATATTACTACAGCTAAACTAAAAACATCTTAACATATGACTTTGCAGGAAAAGAAAAAATCGTACTATTGCACGTGAAATTATCGTGATGGACCTCTCGACTTTACTTGCAATACGATTTCTACTAAACAAAACAAAGTATTTTTCTTCTCACATACTTTCATATGGAGTTGTTATTTCTACTAAATATATAAAATGACGATTGCACATCCCATACATAGGTTATGGATAAAATTAATGCTAAAAAATAGATAAAATTTTGGAGGAGGACCAAAAGTGCATCAATATTGCAAACACGACAGACTATTAGTGCTCCTTGTAAAAACTCAAGGATCACTTTGAGCCTTAACCCAAAGAAAAAGAACTATTTTGATCCTTCCCTCCATTTCTTCAGATTTTAAACCTTTGTGGCAAAGTTAACACCTTCTTTTAGAGATCTCTTTCTAATATAGTTACTATTAAGAACGTCAAATAAAATAGTATAATTTAATTAACAAAACTTTAAGTCTTTGGACTCAGAGTGTGTTTGGTATGAAGGAAAATGTTTTTCATGGAAAATGTTTTCCTAGAAAACAAGTAGATTTTGGGCTTTTTCTCATGTTTGGTAGGTGAGTAGAATATTTTTCGAAAATGATTTTGTGTTTGATTTATGAATGAAAAATGTTTTTCAGAGACATCTTTTATTTTTACTAGAGTAGAAAATAATCTATGAAATTGAAAATATTTTTTAAAAACAATTTTTATTTGGGATGGAGGGAGGGGGGGGGGGGGGCAGGGGGCAGGGGTGAAAAAATAAAAATTTGAACTTCATAGTATTTTTAAAAAACAAAATTAATTTTTTTTGGGGGGGGGGGGGGGTAGGAGTTTAAAAATAAAAATTTGAAGTTGAAAATATTTTTAAAAAGCAAAAATTATTTTTGTGGGGAGGGGGGCTGGCCGGTGGTGGGTGGGTGGGGCTCAGGGATCGGGTAAAAAAATATATATAAATTGATTATTTTTTTTAAAAAATGTTGTTTTTCCCAAAAAAAATATAACTTAAAATTGGAGGAGAATTTTGGAAAATGTTTTCCTTAATTTTTGAAGGGAAGTCATTTTCTTTAATTTTGAGAAAAATGAGTTGATTTGGAAAATATTTTCCAAAACTTTTGTCCCAACCAAACATGAGAAAATTGAAAAACATTTTCCAAAAAATATTTTCCTTCATACCAAACACACTCTCAATGTCTGTCATTTTATTTTGGACAATTTTCACATATAGCAAATAAAAAATTCATATTTGTATGCTATAGCAAAGTTTGCATAATTGCGCTCCATAGCAAACATAAAAACTGTATAATTCGCTATACACATATAGTTGAAGCAAATTTTATAAAACGAAGTGTACACTTGAGCAGGGAACTGTATAAAAATGAAGTGTATAAAACGAATTGTATTATTATAATGGTATAGAACGATTATATGCAATTTGAATTTATATAAAATGAAAAAGAGAGATAGACAAAAGAGACTTGACAAGAAATATACAATTGAATCGAATTGTATAAAACGGGAAAGAGAGAAATTAGATACAATTTGAAAATTGTATAAAACGAGAAATAGAGAAAGACAAAAGAAACTGGGCAGGGGAGTACTTTTATTGTATAATTCTAAGTGTATAGGACGAAAATATAAGTATTTGCATGTGTATATACAATTTTCTCACGCTTTATACAAACAGAAATACAATTTATACATTTCGCTTTTGTTTGTATAAGGGAGAAAGGCGAGAACGGAGAGCAAGATTTGGGAGAGTGGCGAGCGAGATCTGAAAGAGGGGAGAGAGGGAAACAAAAATATATATTTATATAATTTTCTCTGCTTTATATAATTAGAAACAATTTTTATACATTTATGTTTATATAAAAAGTAATGAGCTACTTATAAGCTGTTTTTAGGAATGTATGGTAGGACCTAGGAATTTCTGCCTATTTGTTTGAATTTCTCTAGTCATTTATATTAATGTAGGGTATAAATGTCATCCATTCTTCTTCCTATATTTACAGGCCCCCACCTCAAAAATAAACTAAGAAGATAAGACTTAAAAAAAAATTAAAAATAAATTAGGATGTGACTTATATAGCCACAATAAAATTGATATAAAAGCAATAATCTAAGCTTTGATATGCAAAATCATGTGCTAATAAAAAGTAATCATAATTGATATGTGTCAATGAAAAGAAATGGAGTGCAATGCTCCAAAAAGTATAATCCCAAATTTAAGCTTACTCACGTGGGAATGCCTATTTATTTTGGACAAATTTGTTTGTGCCAACCCTCACCCATTTCTTGCTTCTGTCGGTCCTCTCCTGTCCATACTTAGGAAACTTCTCTTCTATTCCCTTTTAATGTTTTGGTACGACAATCTCAATTAAAATTTTAACTAATATTTTAAAAGTAAATAAGAGGATTTAAATGATGTAATTTTTTTTTTAATCTAAGAAGATTTAAATGAACCCTCAGCCGTCGTGGTACCTGTAGGCCCCAATCGTCAAACATCCCATTATTAAGTTTTTTGATTTTTTTTTTCACACTAGGTGGTGACCCTTCTCCCATTTGTTTATTCCTTTTCTGTTTTTTTTCTCTCTCTGGGTATTAAATTATTGTTTCGGATGTCACTACCAATACATTTTCTTCACTCATTCACACTAATCAGCTGTGAGCACCACAACTCAAAGTTGGTAAAAGCCTGAACTCTTCTGCATTAGCAGTAGTTAAAGGTAAAAGCTTCACTTAATCAACATTTATTTGCTGTAAAAGTTTGAAACTTGTTGTGCTTTTTTGCTTCTCCCCCCACTTTTCTCATCCTTTTTCAGGGGTCCTGAATGCAACATGCACTTTTTTACTTTTTAACTTTGTATAATTGAGGTATATAACTGGTAATAGGAATAACCAACTTTCTTGCTGATTGCTTCTTTCTACTTCTTCCTCTGCCCTTCTGGGGACGGAAGATACTGTTGATTAAATTTAGGGGGCTTCAAATCTTCTTGTGTTTATTAGATTTAGGGAAAAATGGGAGGGGATAACAACTTGAGAATCGAACGCTAGCCAACAAGATAGAAGTTTAGATAGTCAACTAATTGAACGAGCTACTGAATAAAAATTTGTTCAGGTGTCAACTTTCTTTTGAATCTACTAGTAATAAATTTATTCCACTACTGGCAATATTTGGCCATTTTAACTTTTCCAGTGGTCCTGACTTTGTGATGACTGTAACCTCTAAATTACTTAATTGCCACAAATTTCAAGATTTTTGAGAGTAATTCTGTGTTGCTCAAGACAAAATGAGGACATACCTGGATAGCATTTTTTTAATTTTGGATGTATAGTGGTGGTGTGATAGTAAAAAGCCTAGTTTAGATTTATGGTCTTTAATGTTCTAACCAATTGGATAGGGTTATTGTTCCAAGATTTATGTGGCATGCAATTTGCCATTATTGAGAATCATGAAGCAGAATTCTACTTCCTTGAGGAATTCGGGTTTATATACAAGCCCAGCAACACCAGAATATGGAGATAATAATGTTAGAGGATTTCAGAAGGGATGGAGTTCTGAACGAGTCCCGTTGCCGACTAACAGCGGCAGGAGGCATATTAGTACTACTGCATTGATGCCTTTCAATAGTGGAAGGACAGTGCCTTCAAAATGGGATGATGCTGAAAGGTGGATTACTAGCCCAGTGTCAAGTTATGGTGTTTGGAGGACTCCAAACGCACAAACCTACAGGGGCCCCAAGTCTAAAAGTGGACCTCTTGGGCCACCTGGCCTAATGTATTTACCGAACTATTCGCCCTCTATGCCAGTCCTTGAAAGTGGAGGTATAAGTAACTTCATTGCAAATTCACCATTTACAACTGGTGTACTGGTGCCTGATGGGGTATCCATTCATTATGGTGCTGGTGAATATGCTCAGAATAGTATGGCTCGAGCAACCAGTGCTCCCGGTCTGTCAGATTTGTTCAGTGAATCTTCAGTACCAAGCTCTCCAGGTATGCATTTCTTCCGTTGCCTGCTTTGTACTGGTTGTCATAGCGCGAGAGAAGCACTAACCTAATTCTGGTGAATCTTAATTTGTTGTCACTTCAGTTCTTGCAAAAGAAGGTCTCAACGGTCCTACTGTCTCTATATCAGGTTTAAATGTATTATTTAAGTCAACTTAGCTATAGAGTCTTAAGACACTTGAAATGTGGAAGTTGTAGCCTGCAGATTAAGAATTGGGATCGGGAATAACTAATAGCTAAGACACGGATCTTGAATTTGATGAGAAACCCAGCTAAAACAGAAGTTTAATCGAAGTTCAGTGACTGTCCTCCTAAGTTTTAGCAATTGATGATGGCAATATCTCATGTAACACAAGATCCAAGTGTTGAGGACTTCCTATCATATGAATCTACACTTATGTGCTACATGACGGATGAAAAAGCAGTATGCAATTGTATAAACTGATTTAGATGAATAATCATCTTGTTATGCTAGGATTGCAAGTAGTGTTGGTTCATCTTAAAAAATATGACTTTGATGCTTCTTAACTACACTCAGGCCATTTGTTTGAAGTTTGTTAAGCATCAAGTTTACCAGCAAAAGGCCATTGTTCAGTTATGAAACGATTTTTGAGAGAGAAAGATATGTCTTTAGTAAAGTACACCACTATAATTTAATGATATTCTGTTGTTGATGAATCCAATGAACAGATGATGTCACAAAGGAGCCAGATTCTATTTCCTTTGCAGTTTTGAGGAGAGACATGGCAACACAAATGAGCTCTGATGACAGTACACATACATCTCCCCAGGAAAGGTCATCTTCAATCCCTCCTGGAGTGGAGCAGAGCAGGCAGCATTCCACTAAAGTCGAGATTAGAGACGTGCAGGTTGACAAAGGAGACCCAATTTTAGGGCTATCTCGGAAAAGCCGGGTGAGGAAACCCAAGAAACAATTACCAGACATAAGTTCGCCTATCTCAACGTGGGATGTTGTAGATGGAACAAAGAGTATGACAAAGTAAGCATGCATTTCCGGCTTGTTTTTGCTTCTTATGTTTGCTAATGCAGCTATCTTGTCCTTCCATACAAATATTCCACATTTTCAAGGGAACTGACATGCCCTTATGTGTAACTCCACAAGTTTGTAGAAACTATTTGGGCCAAGTAGCGAAATACACAACCTTCACCTCACTGCTAGATTCACAAATAAAAGATTGATGGACATTCTTTTGGCAATACATATGTATACTTATAGTAGGTGCATTTGTCAAGGAGCAAAAATACTATATATGAATAACGGTTGTGCATTTTGTGAAGGTCGCAAAGAGAGGAAGCCAGGATCGCTGCTTGGGAGAACTTGCAGAAGGCCAAAGCAGAAGCAGAAATCCAAAAGCTTGAGGTTCGTTAGACATATATCCAGACACTGATACTTGTTTGAAAGAATAGGACGAGCATAAAAGAAGACTTAACTATTATTTGCATTTCAGATGAAACTAGAAAAGAGGAGGTCAGCATCCATGGATAAGATTCTGAACAAGCTTAGACACGCTCAGGTGAAGGCCCAAAATATGAGACGTGCAACTTCGGAGAGTCAGCCTAGAAGGGATTCCCACAGAATCATTCCATTTCGGGAGTATTTCAAGATTACATCATTTAGCAGTTGCTTTGTTTGCCGTATCCCTTGATTTTGTGTACAGGCATGAGGCTTTCTGAAGTAAAATTCAAGTCATTGTAGGTGGTTCTTGTCAAATCTAGAGCCTCAGTTGTTAATGGTAATCTAAAGGAACAGACAACTCGTTGCTGACTGCTTTATTCAGTAATCCACCTACTTTTGGCTATGTATTCAGGCCTTATCACTGTCTCGTGGAATTCCATACCATCTGATATCTCCACAATACCCAGAAAGAATACACATGCCAAGACAGACTGGTTGTAGTACACACCTCATAAAAATGCAGCATTTTCTAGTCATGTCCCTTACTAGAACACCAACATAATATATATTTCACTAGTCCAACCTACATATAATTGAGACAAGCTGGAAATCTATTATTCGACGCAACTTCTGATCCCGATGCGGTATCTCATTTTTTTGGGGGGGGGGGGGGGGGGGAGGGGGGAGCGAGTAGAAGCATTTAAATTTCCGATTTCCACAAAAACATAAATACAGGAAACCACTCATCTCTCAGAACGGATTTCCAGGAAAACTCACTTTAGGTATAAAACATAATTTGCTATATTGCTTCACTACCAACTATGTTTCTACTCCTGGATATGGAATTAGCACCCATTCTTTGTTTCTTCAATACATTTAATACAAAGGATCAAGTATGAAGTGAATTGCACAATCCATCAGCACTGCTTTTTCAATTACTTAAGTATTAGTAGCACATGTATTATGATGTCCACCTAATAATAAACTGATATAAATATGACATATCTATTGTTGTCACCCATTGGAAATTCAGACAGCCTCTGACCTCCTGCAACACAAAGCTACTAGGGCCTGAATCTCATATCTGATCTTGACCGCCTCCTATCCAACCAGGCCAGCTAGTAGGGCCTGTATCTCATATCTGATCTTGAAGGTCTCCCACCACCCAGGCCGTAACCCCACTGTCAGAACCAGAAGAAAATCACATATTTAAAGGTTATCACCAGAATTCTCATCTATTAAATTAAGGACTAACAATAAACAGACTGGTCATAATATCCATGTGAGACAAACTTGGAGAAAACTAAAACCGGAAAGAGGTATGAATAAAGCATGATGATAAATTGTTGTCTTTTTGAGGATGGTAAATATGAAAATACAAAAATTACTCCATTAGTTGAATCACCGCACTGAAAAGATAGGAAGATGCCGTAAACATGAGTGTTTTCTTCCATTGACATAAAAAGCATCACATAGCATTGTTGTGCATATTGCATAGGTCAGTCAGTAAAGAGAGCAAATTGAATTATTGTCCAGGCAGAAGTCAGAACCACAGCTGAAAGACTCAGGAAGAAGGTCCAGTTATTGACCATTTTTCTGGTGGGAGAGGGGAGGATTGGAAGCTCAAAATCACCCAAAGAAACAGTCAAGGTGGAAGCCTTTCATGGCAATAGATGTTTAACAATATAAAAGCAATTCTATCGTGGAGGTCAAAGTTAAAGACAAGACAACTGAAGTTATTTGACTGGCTAAGTAGGGTTCAAATACTTACATCATCATAATCTAGGCCCCCATACATCCTTCCATAAGTACGCATAGGACCACCATATCCCCCATATGCTTCAGGAGCAGGAGGAGGAGGATCCATCATGTAATTGTTACTTGGACCAGCATCATCAAGAGGAGTAGCAGAATCAATTGCAACCTAAAAAAGCAAGGTAGAACTAGGAATAAGACTACTCATAGCATAACATGAAAGGTCACTGATATTAGTGAAGCCAAAAGGGTAGCCCAAGCTGGCTTTACATTTAGGAGGGTGAAAATTCAGCATGTAAAAGTTCAAACTCCCTAAAACCCAACTTCACATTAATGTATATTTTCATTTGCCAAGCAAACAGTTGAAACTTTATCATCTTCACAACAATGTTCTATTGGCTGAATTGCAGTACATCCAGGTAAATGGCCAGGTCAGTTTCAATAGATTTAAATTTTGCAAAAAACAGTTAACCTTTCAAACAAACTTATAATGTAAGCAGAACATCCTAGGCAATAGCCAGGGAGTTTTAAGATATCATCCATCAAGTGGCTCTAGAGTGGAAAGCATTTCCCCTCATTTAGTCGTCAGGCCATGGATTTTCCTCATCCATGGTCTCATTTCAAAATCTGGTCAACTGATACTTCAAGGTCTACAGATTTCATTGGGGTGGGAGATACAAAAGATAAGGAAATATTTTTTTTACTAAAATCCCAAAAAATACCTGATGTCCACATATCTCATGAGGCCTTCGAGAAACACGATCTGCAACACCATCATCAGCAAATGTAACAAAACCAAACCCTCTATGCCCTGGTCTTCTTGGATCCTACAGGAGATAAGCATCGCAATCATAACAGAATTAAACAATTTACCAAGTTACTTGAGACGAGATCTGTTACCCCAAAATGAAAGAAAATAAGAGAATTTTACCTTTGGGACATACACATCTAAAACACGGCCAAATCTACCAAAATACTGGCGAAGATCTTCAGTTGTTGCCTCTTGAGGTAGTCGACCAACAAAGATCTTCTGGCCCAAGCCACCACGAGATGGAAATCCTCCACCTCCACCTCCACCTCCACCTCCACCTCCTGATTTATTTAATTAAATTCTCTTAGTAAAAAAATTGTGTCAAATAAGAGGCATGATTGATGTTGTGTCATGCTTAAGATATATTTGTCATTATTTACTGTTCATTTTTGTGGTTTGCGAGCTATTGCATAGGAGTCCCTGTGCGCACCCAAAGGGTAGCGGCTGCGGGTTTCCCTTGTCATAAAAAAAAAGAATTGTTGCTTACTTACTTCCATACATAGAACTAGGATGATCATATAAGGTAGGAGCACCAAGCGCACCATATCTAGTAGTTGCACTCATATATGCATTATATGCACCATATCCTCCTCCACTCTGAGACATCCGACTAACAGGTCTGAAATCTTCTTCCTAGAATCATCAGCAGAAAATGCAAATTTAATGAATCATCACAGAACGTGTGAACTTCAATGACATCTAGAATATATCACTGGAGATACATCAAAGTTCGGTTATGCATAACTTGCCTTGGGTGTTGCTCGGTCCACCACAATTGTGGAACCTCCCAGTTCATGGGTGTCACTCATCAGATCATCAACTGATTCTGGGCAAAGAAACCAAAAGCCACTCAATTCAAAGGAAAATCATTACAAAACTGACTAGAAACTAGAGTCTGCAGAAGACATGATAGGCATGCATGTAGGGAACTTCCCTGCCTCTACCTGGGTGAAAAAATAAAAACAAGGTGGTAGCTACCACATCCCTAGAAAAAATTAAACGAAACTGATTCTTCTGAGACAGCACAATTACAAGACTTCTAAAGGTGATAAAAGATGTGTTGAAGTGGGTGACCATCTAATCTAAAAGCTTAATATTTTTAGAGAGAACGCACTTTTACTAGTTAATTCTACTCTCATCACGTCCCCTCACGTGCGGGCCTGATTCTTTTTCATGGCCAAGCACATGGAAATTCTTTTTGATAGGGTGGCGGTGAGATTCGATCTCAGGACCTCTGCGTGCACTTAAGAGAGACACACTTTATTAGTTAATTATATTCCAGAAACAAGATGAATGTCAATCAAAATACCTAGAATGTATAACTAGACTGCCAGTGGAACAGTTTCGGATGGGGTGGGGGTATACAAGTTGACACCAAAATAACTAGCGAAAGAATCAAGGCTGAGATCAAATCAAATATTATGCTGATCTACAGTAGAAACTCTTCAAATGTCAAATTCATTTATCATCACCCCATTATCAGGCTCAAAATAAGCACCCCGAGAGGCAATATACAGAGTGTGGAATTAAGGGGAAATTATTAACCTCCTAATTGTTTTAACCGTTGTTGGGTCACGGGTTAAACACCTGACCAGTGAGCTGTTATTCCAAAATGACAAAAAATGTTACAATATCAAGAATGTGAATTTCTTGGAGTAATGGATTAATGCATAAAGGTTGAAGATCTTCATATCTATAACAATTAAATTAAAAGAACTTATGCTGAATCAAGGTAAACTGATTGATCCAGATTTTAATAATTAACTGCACTAATTGAGCGCTTGTCCGAGTGAATGCACTAAAGACACCTTCAGAGAAAAACATTGCAACTACAACACTCAATGTTTTCCCTCCCTGAAATATAAGATGGATACATAGGATTTACCCAGGAAGTTCCTACAAGATACAATTCCTGCCAAAAAATAAGTTCCTATGTTTTATTAAAAAACTGTTCCCAATAACTAGATATTAGGCAGAGGAATAACTGAATGTGGCCAGAAAATACCTGGAAAATAAAGAAAAAACTGCAAAAAATTAGGATGGGAGACATACCAGCATTTGCAAAAGTAATAAACCCAATTCCACGATGTCCCTTGGTAGATGGATCCTGCAGATTGGGTAAGATTAATTAGTACATAATGAATCATATGATTTAATGCCAGAACATGACAGCACATATATAAAGTAATAATGACACAACGAGACAGGGGAACCTTTGGCATGTACAGATCTGTTATTTCACCGTACTTCTCAAAATAACTGCAAAAGAAAATCAAATAAGGATATTAAATTCTAATAATGAAGCAACCAACCAGCTAGAAATAATCTTAATAAAGCAATCCTTCACAAATACCCTCTGAAAGTAGCTTCAGACACAGACGGAGGAATCCTAGCAACGAAAATCCTGGTCACTTTCTTTGCAGGAGCCCTCATCTCCTCCTGCCAAAAAAATTAGTAGCATCAGTATTAGACCTTACAAAGTATTTAGAGGCACAACGATTATAAAATGGGCTTTCACTTGTTATAATGCAATTTTCATGTCCAACCAAATGAAGAAATCAATATGAACCATGATAACCATTCCATTTTAATCAACTCAAGCCACCACAATATATTAATAGTTGGCCTAGATAGTAAAAGTACAGCATTGGATGAAATACTAAAGTAACAAAGAGAAGTTTTTTCATTAAGAGTAAGAGCATTGCACCTTCGGTGTCGCCACTTTCACTTCTAGCATTCTGTTTCCAAGAAAGTGCTCCTTAGACAATGCATTCTGCATCATACAAATCCACAAGTGTAGGAATCAAGTTTGCATCAAAACCACAAAATCATAAATAAGCTATACCAAGGACGAAGAACAAGACCATACATTGTAAGAAAGTTTAACTGGAGGGTAGTATGCAAATATGATTGCAACAATGACATGAAAACCAAATTAAAACCAAAATCACCTTAGCATCCTCAACTGTAGCAAATGTGACATAGCCGAATCCACGAGAACGACCAGTAGCACGTTCCTAGATGAAGATCAATACTCATTAGTCTTCTTCAGTCAGATGATAAGAAATTTAGCAACAGAAAGCACATTTACTTTCAAAGCACTAAAATGCAAATATATATTAACTATATAAACCAGACAGCACACTTTTGGGAAATTAGTAAAACGGATCAATCTTCTGATACACTGTTGATTTTATGTTTAAAATTGTCACAAAAGCAATCAATAAAATCATTGGCAAAACACACCAGAATCAAAATACACAAACATGGCAATGTTTGGTACTCCCTACGTCCCAATTTATGTGAACGTATTAGATTTTGCACGGAATTTAAGAAACAAAGGAAAACTTTTGGAACTTGTGGTCTAATATAAGCTATAGATTTTTGTGTGCCTATAAATCATATAAATCATTTCATTAGGGATAAAATTGGTAGCTTAAAGTTGAAATGTTACTAAATATTGAAAAATGTCATTATTAAAGAATGACTAGAAAGGAAAGAGCATCACAAAAATTGGGAATGGAATGCAAGTTAAGTCGAAAGACGACAAGGGCATGTCTTGCCTCGTGGCGAGGTGCTGGCCTCTTTGAATTGAGGCGCCAATTAATATAAAAAACTGAAGATATTTAATGCATATATAAATAACCAGTATCTCAGTAGCAATACCATATTGGCAAATATTTCAATTTAAAAACTAACCATAGAACTTGAATGACTCAATAATTCATGAGACAATTTGACGAACAAGACTAGAACCCAAGAACTTGTATGACTAAGTTGAGTTGGACAAAAATTAAAATAGGACCTGGAATTTTTCTGTAGAAAGGCAGATTTGCATCTGCAGAAAATTAAAAAAAACAGACCATAAAATAAGAACAGAGGAATCACTAACAGAGTAATAGGAAGCTGGGCACATTGACCTACTAAAAAAAAGAAGAGAAGAAGATGAAGAAGCAAAAAAAAGAGCAGCTGACTATGGCAGAAGAGAAGCTGCAAAGCAGAGGAGAAAGAAGAAGAAGACGTAACTAAAGGCTGAAGCTGAGGAGAAGAGAGTCACGTGTCAAAGAGAAAATTGAAGAAGAGAGTCGTGAGTCACGTTTGTTTTTAAAAACACTAATATTGCCATTTAATTATTAAGCACGTTTGTTTTTTTTCAAAAAGAATAAAATAAAAGGGCAACAATGGTGCCACCTCACCACTCATCATTTCTCGCCATTGATCGCCTTTGCAGGGTTGCGCCTTACGAGTAATAGGCGCAAAATCTCTGGCCAAAGGCAATCGCATTTGATAATCTGGTTTACTTTACCAGGAAAGAACCCAACGCAATCTTGAATCTACTAGACAATTGAAGAAGAGAGACACGTGTCAAAGAGAAAATTGAAGAAGAGAGTCGTGAATCACGTTTGTTTTTAAAAACCCTAATATTGCCATTTAGTTATTCGACAAGATTTTCTCCTGAGACCCAGTTCTCATGTGCCCACCAATGTAGTTAACAAGAAATAAACCAGTTTGGGACACGTTCTTGGTTGAATTCCAAAAGTGACATCTCTTAAGCGGATAGTTCTGCTAAATTTTCCAAGTAGCGAACTGCGAAGCAACAACCTTCTCCTAACAACTATAACATAGTTTGGGGCAATGGAAATCCTTATGTTTTTGTTACACCATAAATGATATAACAGCCCTAAGTTTTTCACAAGAAAGCTAAATGCACTAAAAGCTGCAAGCTGTGCACCAAATGATAAATATATGACCTTCTGTAACCCAGATTTGATATCTCATTTTCTGATACAAGCACAATTAACAAACAAAAAAAGAAACAACATTGTCAACACAAAAAACAAGACTGCACACAGTTAGGTCATGAAAGTCTTTGGAACTACAGTATATCTGAAACAATGCATATCATAAAAGTCAAGGTAGCTGCGTAGACTGACCTTCATCACAATACAATCCTCTAAATCTCCATATTTGATCATATATTCCCTTAGACCTTCTGTATCCACGTCCCATGGGATGCCTAAAACCTAAAAATCAAGAAGCAATCACATTAAGATTGCAATCAAAGACAAACATGCCTTGAAAATCAAGAAAGAAACCAAAACTTACCACAAGCTTCTTCTCCGACATGGTAACGAAAACTTGTCTGACAAATTGATTAGCGGAGAGTGGAAATCGTAGGATATACACTCAACTCGCTCTCGCGATCTCACCACACCTCTCTCTATAAACGAATCGCTCACACAAGACGATTCTTCCTGCAGGTAACAGACACACACCTCTTTCTCACACACAAATATCATCATCATCATCATATTTCAGAACAAACTCACCAATTTCTCTAAGATCTTCGGATACCAAAGAAATTAAAATCACAACGAGTACTAAATTAGATTTACGCGCTCCACTGACCTTCTTGATTCCGATTATCAAAACCCTAATTCGCTCTCTCACTCCGCTCCGCTCGCTCTTCCTCGCGCCGCTCAGCTCCTTCAAACCCCAAGCCACTGCTCTTATCCGTCCCGTCTTTTTTATATTAGTATATATAATCCCTTCAGACCTCCCGAGGCTTTTATTAAAATTACAACTATAACCCTTCCCGCATTGATATATAATCACTCAATGGACATTGTCTCACCATTATTTTTGGGATAATACTAAATATTTTCTTTAAGTTGCATTTTTGCAACAGTAATCTCTCTTTTAATTTAAAAAGACAAAATAATCAAATCACTCCTAAATGTATAATCAGATTATCAATTATACCCTTATATTTCAGGGGTGTTATATTATTTTCCTAGACAATTTCAAAATGACATTAAAATTGAACACTCAAATTCGCATCAAAATGTGATTGGACTCATCCTACCACTAATATTACTTTTTTTAATATTAAAAATAATTATTTCCTTTTAGATTTTTGTTTTCTACTTTTTATTTTTTCATTTTTCATTCCTTCTTTTTTTTTACCTTAAAAATAGTTTTCAGCTAAATAAATGTCTTTTTAGATAGGATACATTCCATGACTACTACATATTCTCAAAACTTTAGAGGAGATTTGATCAACAAAATCTCGATGTTCTTTATTGAAGCTATAGCATAATGAGAAACTCCATTATCGGAATCACTTATGCTTTTTCTACTAGTATAGAACTTAAAATAATACTTCAAAAATTACTAATAAAAAACACTAATTAACCGAAATGACGATATCGATGTTGGCTAGCGAAGAGACTAGTGTCGATTTCGATTTAACAAAGTTAACCTAAGAAGTCTTATAGACTCTTGCAACCATTTCAATAAATGGGTTTTAGCCATTAATTAGTTTATTATCCAATAAATTTTTAAATATATTCTTCATTAACTAAGTTAATGAGTTTGTTACTTAATGAATTCTTCAACATTTTTACACTAAAGTTCAAAGGTGAGATGATATTGTCCTGTTAAAGAGGAAAATAAAGAAGAGGAAAAAGGTAAAAATGAAAAAATAAATAAAAATATAATAATTCAAAAGAATCAAATAAAAGTAATAGTATAAAATAAAAGAAATAAATTAAAGATGTAAATATTTTTATTGCAATAAATTTCTCATAAAATATAAATGTGTAGTTGATAATAGATTAGCTGGGTAATGACTATTTTCTCATTAAAAAATTACAACCACTCTCTCCAGTATTTGTGGAAGCATGGGTCATACTAGTGATAATTAAAGTGCATTTTCTCGAAAGTCATTTATAAATGTTTGTGTGAATCATGATTTTGAACATAAACATTATCTTATTAATGACATGAGGTTATAATATAATTTATAAATATATATTAAAAAAACTAATAAAAATATTGGAGAGTTCTTCAATATTACTGGTTGAATAATACTTATTGTTATTGAGAAAGTTTAGTCATATTTTGTGAAATAATAATACATATGTTAGCAAACTTTATATGAGATTGAATTTTAAACTTTCCATGAGATCAAAAATATTTTCAATCATATTTTTGAAGAGAATGCTATTTTTTATATATATAAATAATGTAATTCAACAAGTATTCTACCATTTAATAAAAATATAGCCACAACTCTCAAACATCACAAAGAGTACAAATAACACAATTATTAATATTCAATATGCTATGTGATTTTACCTTTGTTTGCCAAATAAAAAACAATGAAAGATAAAATAAATCTTTTGATCAGAAATATAGTTTAATAAATTATTAGAGAAACATTCGTAAACAATCACTATAATAAATTTATATATGTTTTATAGCTATAAATTGCATATTTTCGGATTGTAGCTACGGTTTAAGCAATCTCATTTGTATAAAGGTACATCTGTATAATTTAGTTGTTTTAAACAAATTCGAAAAAATGAACTTATACTATTACAAACATTAAAAGTGTAAACAATTCTACAAACTCAATTATACAAAAGTTGTACAAATTTTTGAATTATACGAAACTAAAAGGTTTAGCTGCGTCATTATAACTAAAGTAAGTCGCGAATTATAATTTAGACAAATTATAGCTATGTCAATGGACCATCATGTAGCTTGCCAAAAGAGTGCGGTATAGTTTTTGTTATATATTTACTCTATATACATCAATATACACAAATTTGAGTAACAAGCCTAATATACAATATGTGATTCTTGATTAATGTAGGAATAAATTCCAATTTCCAATAAGACACCAAAGTAGACGAGAATTGTCAAGATGATACAGCAACATTGGTGAACAAATTAGCATCTCCCAAACAAATTGCATTAATATACTCTTGAGGACCATGAGCCGGCATGCCTGGAAATACTAGTCCATACAACCTAAGTGCTTGTAGAAGCAAGTTTTCTCTGTATTCTGCTCCATACAAATATGGAAGAAGAAAGCTTCTTACCAATTCCCACAGTGCATCCACCCTCTTTGATATTAGTGATCTCACAGAAAAATAATTCCTGTCTGGTTCTTCTGACACAATCTATTGCACATAATGCAAAAGTTCCGATTAGTAATCTTGAAAATAAAACTGATCATTAAAACAATAAACACATTCGTTGGGTAGATGATAACACTCAGCTTATAGTATCTCAAATGGTCAATATTTTTCAACAAAGAAAGTGACTTTTTGAGATAATAAGTATTAGTTGAGTGACTATCTGAGAAATCAACTTGTACATATTATCTTTTTTGTGGTTACCTTTCCTTCGTATGTGCTGTTATAGTAAAGGCATGTTCCGAAGTGTTTAAAAAGCATGATAGAGTCATCATAAGGCAATCTGGGCACAATATCATGACTGTAAACAAATCTATAATATTCAACGCCATAATTCCTGAAATTTTCCTTCATGAAGTCGCCAAATTCGGCATCACCTACTCTTGGCTGCCCAAATGTGTAAATTGCTTCCAATCTTTCCAGTATAAAAGTCTCGTCATGAAATGCAAGAACTGCTGCAAAAAGAACTGCAAGCGCACCGCCTAAGCTGTGTCCTGTTAGGACAAACTTTGTTTGCTTATTTTTCTGAAATATATCTCTTAGTTTTTCCCTGATTGTGTAGTATGCCAATGGGCGTTGATCGTCTTGTGTGATATTGGGAAGCCATTTTTTATCTTTCTGTAAGCCCAGAGCTTTCATGAAACCGCTGTGGACCTTGCCCATGTCCTGGAATTCGTACCAAGATATGTCGAAATCTGTACTCCAATCATATGAATTGAAGGGTTCTGTACCTCTAAATGCCACAATTATTACGCCTGGACAGCGAGTTTTATCATGAAATAAGAATCCTTGAGTTGATTTCTTTTCGTGATATTCTGCCAAAGCACAAGTTCATGTTAGAGAAACTCTAATCAAGGCTGGAAATTGTTCTGCATTTGTTACACTTCCAACAATAGCCAATTGTACGAAAAGAGATGAAAAATGCGATAATGTTATGTTAGCATTTGGCATATTGTTTAAGCTATCCATTCTAATGAACTTGTATACTTATCTTACCATTCCAAAAATCATAATAACCCAACAAATCCATCTGCCAAAACAGCAAAATACGTACATATTAGTACCAGAGTAAGACAGTAGTTGAACAAAATAGTGATTATCGTAACACGATTAATACTAACAAATACAACACACAAGTTTTAAAAAGTACTCTTTATTCTTTTTTCGGGCTAATTGAACTAGCTAACTGAAAATGTGAGTTAGAGGACCTTCCATTGATCTTCAACAGTTGCTCGAATGAAGGCTTTATTCTCGTAGGCTACTTTTGATGCCACTGCAGAAAGCGCAACAATATACGTTTTATCCCCTGGTTTGAACTTCTTATGAGAATTCACTCTCTGGTCTATAAATCCAATAGTAGAGAGATAGCTGGCTGACTCTTTGTCTGGCATCTCTACCTTCCCTATCAACGACAATCCGGATTAATTTCAATTTACCCACATAACCGTAAAAGTGAGAAAAAAAATAGTATAAATTGAAGCAAATTGGAAATGTCAATTAAGAAAATTAAACTGGAATAACCTTGTAGGACTCTCAACAATAATGTAGGAAGGCTTTGGTAACTAGCAAGAAGATTTAGGCAGCTCTCTGAAGTTGAACCAAAGAAAAACAGAGGCTTTGAGATGAAATGAAATGCTTTTTGCACGGAGACCGAGAGAAAGATGTATCGTCGACGCTCAAAGGCTATCTCTTTCTCTGTCCAACTTTCTATGAATTTCTTGCTCTTAAGATCCCCTGAGAACAGAATACGTATGAGATCCAAAAGACTTGTTTCATCTGGTTTCAATTGAAGGTACTTGTTGCTACTCACACGTTCCATGATGCGTCTGATTAATTAACTATGGTAATTGGATCAATTTTTATTCTACTGAAATGAAGTAATGCCTTTGCAGATCAATCATTATCAAGTGCTAGCTTATTTATAACTAATGTGCACCTTGGATCTACTTTATTTAGCTTAACGAAGAAGAAAATAAAAACAGACTTGATTCTGTCTCTTATGCTTTTAGAAATCTATGGAATTTGCGTTCAGGTGACACTTTAGCATCTTTCAGGACATATGCCAGGCCAATATTATAGGAGTATAGTAATGGAACAAGTTCAAACAGGTGGCAATATATTAATATTATATTATTCTCACTCAATGTCAATCTTTTGGAAATTCTATTAAGTCTTCCAAGCTACCAATTTGAGAAGGCACATGAAAAGGATTCTAAGAGTGATACCATGGAAATCTACCTGTCCACGATACCTGGACGATCTTTTCCAGATCAAAAGTAGTGTGTAGTGAATCTTCGAGACTTATCGGATTAGGGCAACTAGCTTGTACGTTGGGAAATCTGTTTAAAATTATGAGTTAACATATATTAGTAGCAAAGTGGAGACGAAGATCCTTTCTGCCTCCCCAATTAAGAATATCCACCATCCTAACAAAAGTGCAAGTTTAGAACTCAAGTATATATTCCATTGGATAAAATGAATTTTTCACTTTGTTCTCCAAGGACTCGATTCAAGCTTCAAATCAATTAAATATCTAATAATACATTGGTGCAGGGAAAAACTAATATGTAGGATAAGAAATTCTAAAAAGCACACACTGGGTAGTTAATTATTTTATAATTATGCTGGTACTATGCCAATCTTTTGATACTTTGCAACGTCTTCAGTGGAATGATCAGATGATCCAAGCCTGGTAGAGTTAACATAATCCTGAGGACAATGAGCAGGCATGCCTGGGAATAGCAAGCCAATCACTCTCATGCATAAAAGAAGCCCGCCTTCCTGATACTTTCGTCCGTGTACACATGGTAGAATACAGCTTCTGATCAGCTCCCAAGCTGCGTTTAACATCTTTGGTATAAACATTAACAGAAACGACCCATTCTTGTCTGGTTCTTCAACTAAAATCTGCATTATTCAAACAACATATATTCGTTCAGGATAAGGAGTTAATAAGTTAAGAACTAATTAGTTAGATCTTATTTTATTTTATTTTTGCATATGTAGATACAAGTCGAAATTTACATCCAAATAAAGTAACATTTTCATGGACTAAATTTGTTTAAAAAGAGGTAGAAAAAGGTTCTTACTTTTTCTCTGTAGAGGCTATTGTAATAGATGCAAGTTCCAAAGTGCTTGAACAAGAAAGTAGAATTGTCAAATGGCAATCTTGGTACCATGTCATTGCTGTACACAACTCTGTAGTATGGAACCTCATGTTTTGTTAATTGTCCATTCATATATTCAATAAAACTTTCATCTCCAACTCTTGGTTGACCAAATGTGTAAATGCCCCCTAATCTTTTCAACAGCCAAGATTCCTCATGGAATGCTAATATTGCTGGAAACAAAATTGCAAGTGCTCCACCTAAGCTGTGACCGGTAACTAAAAACCTTGCCTTTTCATTTTTCTCCAGAAGTTGTTTGAGCAATTTTCTTAGGAAATAGTAGGCTGGAGGTGGCTGATTAATATTATTAGTATCAGTTTGTACAATATTTTTGGGCCATCCCAGGCTCTTTTGTAAGCCGAGAGCTTTCATAAATCCGGCATGGACTTTGCCCATGCCGGGAATGTCATACCAAGAGAGATTAAAGTCAGAAATCCAATCATCAGAATTGAAGAATTCAGTTCCTCTAAATGCAACAATAATCAGCTCAGGGTCCACGCTTTTATCTTGAAGCACGAATGCTTGTGTTGTAGCTTTCTCTTGATAATCTGTTCAAATCCAATAAAAAAACAAAATAAGGAAAATTCAAGATAAGGAATAATTTGTTCCCTACTAAAACGACACCCACACATCATTGATGATGTGTTCAATTATTTCTTGTTCAATTCGAATTTACAAGCAAATTTGGATTAAATTCAGATCACAGGGGTGGTGCTCCCCATTATGTGATTGATGCTTCAAGTAGGTGTAGGGTCCCACAACGTGTGTGTGCGCATTATTTGGTCTCCTCGCTATGACCCCCGGGTAATTTGTCTCACGACCTTTTATTTTCCGGCCCACCCTAAAAAAGATTAATATTATTCATTTATCTTTCAAAAAAATAACTCAAACTTTCAATTTATTAATTGATGATAAATGTATTTAATTAATTGAGTAAATTTCACTAGTTTCGTTTCATAAGTTAATAAGACTTCAAAAAATTTATTTTATTTTTTTGATAGAAAGCAAGATACATCTCAGTGGTTGGGCTAGAACAATCCTATATAGATTATAAAATGTGGGTTAAAATTACTAGTTTTGTTTTATGTCAAACATTATGCATCAATCATTTAGTTATAAGTGAACGTGCTTTCCTTTTCGATTTATAAGAAGTAAGGAAGAAATCGGGGTTTAATATTTATAAATAAATTATAGATTATTACATGATAATAAACTATTATTATATTAAATATAAAATGAACTTGAGATATATAGTAGAGTATTAAATATTAATATTGATCATTTTTATTTAATGTTAATTAAATTGTTTGTTAATCTAATTTCGCTCTCTTTCATTTTTAGAGAATAACCCTAAAATAGAAAAAATGATTATTCTAGACAAAAAAGAATGCATATAATTAGTGGTAGTATTATTAAAGATAAATGTAAATTATTTTAAAGCTCAAACCTATATATCTTAGCACACAATACTAATAAAGAGGCTACTGTCATAATTGTTCTTTAAAAAAGCAATAGTACAAGACTGTGAGATAGAGCTCAGCTCACGGTCTTATTTGAAGTGTACAAAGGTTTAAATCCTGCTATTTTGTCCAATTCATAATAAAAGTATTTTATATATAGTTTTATTATTATAAATTGATTTACATATATTTTTAATGTTATAAATATTGTTCATATATATTTTTATCGTTATAAAATTAATTTGAATTTTTTTAAAATTGTATATTAAAAAAAAATTCACGTATAAATTATTTTTTTGATTGATAAATATTATTTGATTTCTTATTCATACTTAAGTGTCATGAGAAACAAAACAGAATGTGAATGAAAACGGAGAAAATTTTTTTGAACTACATTTATTGGTTATGTTGTAATATAACTTTAATATCAATAAAAAGCTATGAGGCATCTTTAATAACTTTAAAGGAAAATGAGTGAAAAAATAAAAGAAAATTGACAATCAAATAATAAATTCAAGTTAGCCGTTGAATTAATTAAAAATGATTTAAAGTTATTTTTTCATTTTGATTTGAGAAAAATTATGTATGTAAATCATTTATATAACTGTAGCGTATATATAAATAACTTTTACGACGAATATATATATATCAATCTAAATGGCAAATTCGAGAAATGTATCATATCATTTGCCTATTTAAAAATAGTTATACATAATGAACAGCTCTAAATATAACTTTGAAGCAAAATAACTTAAAAATACCCCTATGGCAAGCAGATATGTTGCTGGTTCAAACTCCCTCTTATAGAACAAGAGAAATCGAACTTTACTTCCAATTGTAAAATGAGATTATTTTTGTTGTCACAAAATAAAAAGGGTAACTTAATTATATTATTTTCAATAATTTGAGCACTACTCCGTGATATAATCACTATGTTTGCAAAAGCTTATACATATTATTAGTAGGAGTAATAAATATCTTACCATTCCAGAAGTCAAATGATCCCACCAGATCCATCTGCATAATATTGAAACGCAAGATCTGAGCACATCCTTCTTCATTAATTATTAAGAAAAGAGAGAAATAAAATGGATGCCTGAAAACTTTTTCAAGTCTGATTTGTAAGAAAAAAAAATTAAAAAATATATTCATCTTAAGTTTCCCAAAAATGGAGTTAGAAAAAATAAGGTTGCTCCCACCCTACCTCTCTTAGTTATTACATATAGATAATCCCTTTGTTCCATTTTCTTTTTTATCGGTTCCAAAAAGAATATCACATTTTTTATATGATTAGTATTCAAAAGTGTTTTTTACTTTTGTTGATCCCACTTAATTTTAAATAGTACTCTAATATATTTATGAAGAGAGAGAAAAGTGAGTCTACTTTTGAACGACAATTTAATAAACAATTCAAAGTCTTCATTTATTTCTTAAACTCCGTGGCAGGTCATGTGATGTCACATAAAATGGTATAGAGAGTGTAATAAATATTAACAAAAACAGTAAGTAAAAAACTAGAAAACATTTTGGTTCATACCCAATATGTTAGCTCAGGTAGTTTACCTTCCAATGATGGTTGACAGTAGTTTCAACATATGCTTTGTTCTCATAAGCTGCTTTTGCAGCCATCATGCTGATTCCTTCATCATATCTTCTACGTCCTCCAACATTCTTACTAAAATCCAGATCAACTCTTTTATCCAAATTTCCAATAAATGACAAGTACGCAGCTGATTCCTTATCCGGTGATACAGCTTTACCTACAATTATTGTTCATAAATATCAGTACTACAGATCTAAAAGAAGAAAAAGTATTGGACAAAAAAATAAAATGCGTACATATTAAGGATTTGAAAAGAAGACGGAAGAATCCGCCATTGACGTTTTGAAGGTTAAGCCAGTACTCAATAGCATTGCCCAATCCAGCTAAAGGCTTAGCAGTTGCGAGTAAAATCTTCTGGACTAGTATAGATAAAAATATAACCCATCTACGTGACAAAGGCTCCTTAGTCATTTCTTCATTAGGGCAGTCGATGAAGTCTTTTTGTCCCAATTTTTTACCGGAAAGTAAAAGTTTTGCCAAATCTAATACGCTACATTCTTCTGGCTTTAGCAACATATAGTTGCTACAGAAAGATTTGTTGCAACTATTGCTCGCCATATACTGCAGATCGATGATTATTATTTGGTAAAGTAATTTATTTATTTATTTATAGAAGAGAAGTGCATTCCAGCTTGTATTGTATGGGTCTATTTATACTACTAGTACTAGTGAGAGGACAATTTTTGGAAACTTTTATTTCTACGCTCTTCATTATGTTTTAGGTGAAAATGGAGACATAGGTGGGGTACAAAATTATCGAGGATTAGAATAGGGTAAATCTAACTATGTAGATAAAATCTACACGTGTTACATGTTTTTTTTTAAATAATAATAAAAAATTATCAGGTAAAGTGCAAAATCAAAAAGGTAGAAATCATCAGTAGCGGCCGGTTCCTGGAAGCATTGGCAATTATAATTTTAGAGAAATCTTACACATGAAAAAGATGCAATTTTATTTAGTCGAACTTATTATTTTAATGGAAGGTATAAAATCAAGACATATACACTAACTTATATAATTAAGAAAAATTGACTACCTAACAACCATTGTATATTATCTTTGATATTAAACGAAGAAAAAAGATATTAGTACTGTATAATTTAAGTTGGTGTTTGCA